TTACTCTCGACAGTAGCGAATACTACGTTTAATTAACAGAGTCTGTATATGTCGCTTTAAGCCACGATTAAGGATACGGACTTGTGACTCTCGATTTTCGTGACTCGACGGAGAGAAACATCAACGTCATTTCGATTATTGCGTTCCCGCGCGACAATTTACGTCGAGGAAAGCTTCATTCGGTTTCTCCTCACTCGCAGCTTTTATCAAAACGACCTCAGAGCTAAAAGATGAAGGGAGACCTAAACCCACTTCTCTGTCGTTAGTGGCTGACGTGTAGTCATTAGAAGTATTCGCTTAATGCGTTCCTACCCGGCCATTAAAGACCCCGTAATAATGTAAGGGAGGGGTTGCTGCAAAAGTAGTTATGACCTGTTAAGAAAAAGACGCGAGAACCGTGAAAGACAGAGGTAAAAGTGGGTTCGGCGGGAAAATAACGATTTGTCATGCGTAATGTTCCTTAAGGGTGGTTAAATTCGTATTTTCACGTAACGACGATCGCGGTGGACGTGTCGCGTGTAGACAACGCGGTGGAATGCACACGTGGTATTCTGCAAAAAGAGAGAAAGGATATATCGGCGGCAACGACAAGGAAAATAGATGGAGTTGGCTCGAAAAGTTTTTCCCTCTTTCTCTCTCTATCTAGGTTACACGAGCGTAAAGAATGTCATACTTGACGCAAATTGCTGGTGAAGACTCGACGGGGTATACTTCTTCTTCTTATAAATCGCATTAAGTGCAATCGATTCCGACTGCGGACGATGAGACCCAGCGGTTAGCGATTAAACTTCACAAACGAGCGGAAAAGAAATAACGAAAAAAAAAAACATTTATTACGTGCAGAACAATGTCCGCCCCATGAGAACGTTCTTTTGGCGGATGACGATATCGAATGAGAAGAAAATCGTCGTGGCGACGTTAATCGTCTTCCAAAATGACTAATGACGCGCGTCCAACTCGACAGTTGGCAATTAACGTTAAGTCAATTAATTTGTAACGTGGCTCGCTAAACTTCTAATTTCGCTTCGACGTTCCTCCCGTTGAGATACAATAAATACAGATAAATTCATTTGCTGATTATACTTTCAATATGTGTATTGCAAATTGATTGTATTCGGTTATAATTGAATTATTTTCCGAGTAAAGACAGAAATTTTTCAACAAAGATAATACGTTGACATTTATATACTGTTAAAATTCGTAAATAAAACAAATGCCACGTATCCGTTGAGAGAGGTGATATTTGTAACGTTTAATTATATTGCTATTTAATTATACATAACTTCCACGGTATTAATATGCAAATATGGTCGACTAAAAGACATCAAAATTCGCATTTTATCTATTTATACAGTTAATAAAATTTAATTGCGAGATAAAAATGGTTGGTTCGTATTTATGTGTCAGTTTCTACTTTACACACACACACACACGCACGCACACGCACACACATACGCACACACATACGCGCACACAACGCGCACGCGCACGCACACACACACTTTAATTTCAATTATTATACTTGATTTTACATTACGTTATTTTTTTACCACCTTAATTGTTAAAATAATTAGAGGATTATTTCTCTTGGGTGTCTGTATTGCTACTTTAAGCATTAAATACCTTTTCAGTGTTTAATCTGTATGTTTCCTATACGTATTTGCACCTCGACTAATTAATTTATACCATTTCGTTTACGAACTGCAACGGAATTATTCGCTTGGCGTGGCTCTTTAATCGTTTCTCCGCGGTGCATTAGAATGTCTGTATTCCACAAGGAATTAAAACTTACACTCCATCGATACCAAAGCAGCAGTGAAATAAAAGGGAAACTTTCGGCAACCAAACAAACGTAACAACCTGTCAGGCAAACGCGCGAACGGTTAAACGTTACGGTTCCAACTAGAATGGGTTGTTACAATATTTCGCGAAGTGAAATCGGTTGGTTGTTGCCATCCCGAACACGTTGAATGTCTTTCACGATGGAAGATCACGGACTTCGGCTCGAGAGCCGAACTCTTATTGACACGTACCCTGATGCACGTGTCGATGGAAAATCGGAAAGGAGGAGAAAGCAACGTGTATTCTCGATGGACCAACTGTCTTCCCATCGCCTTTAGCTCCTTCCTCCTCCTCCTCCTCCCCCCTCCCTCCACTTCGTCTCGCGCAATCCAATTTTCAAAGCTGCTAAATATAACGTCGTATCGGACCGGTGACGTTTGTCTCTCTCCTCGCATGGAAACTGACGTAGCGCGAAAGATTTCTCACCGCGTGTATTCGATTTTGCGAGACACAGATGCACGTAATAATTCACGACGAATTTTAAAACACGATGTCGTACAGCTTACGGAATGAACGATTCATATGCCGGATATTTAATGTTAACAAGACCGCGCCCCGACGCTACCGACGCGATTAATACATTGCTTTTTTTATTTAAAAGTTCACTGGATGTGAGAAATTATTAAGAGGCAATCGCTCGTTCGCTTCCTCGCTCGCGCGCGTTTTCCGATATCACTCACGCGTTGCCAATATTTCCGTAAGAAACATAAAATATTTATGTAGATGCTCCCTATTGCGGGGTAGTGAAATTTGAAATTTTACTATCGGAACCGGCAGAGGTTTTCACGAACTGAGACATGTATCTTTTCTGCCAGATGCAACACCTTGTATGTGTACATCAAATCGCGCGGAGACAAAGACATGCGAGAGAGAGAGAGAGAGAGAGAGAGAGAGAGAGAGAGAGAGAGAGAGGAGAGAGAGAGAGAGAGAGGTGATGCCAATACGATCATTACTCGGTTGAATCGCGCTGACGTGTCTGTAGCGAAGCGCAGATGATTATAAAACAATTGGCGTATCATTATTATATAGTTTTATCTTTCATATGTAATTGTCACTTTATGTTAATTCGCAAATTTAGGTGAAGCTGTTTAACAGCTTCGCGTAAACGCGATTGAAAACTGGAAATGAATTTCGGGCTAGGTAACACGATTCCGCTGCTCTCGCGCGGTAATATTCACGATATATAAAATAATTTCGTTAAATTTTTCAAATATTCCGTATTTTATTGAGAGAGATTGCGCCGGGCGTTATATGGATAACGTTGTTATCCTTGTGGATAATTGCGATTGTAAGTAATATGAGGGAGGGGCGGGGGTCATTTCACGCGTCAGAATTAATATCAAATCTAATTTAGCCTCATTTGCTATATTATATTATATTCGTAATTAATACATGAGTTCCACCATTAAAACAGTAATAGTCGCAGTGGAAGTTTGTTTGCCGTATATGAAATTACATTTCGTCTGTATCCGTTTCGCATACGTAGACAAAGATCAATCCTACGTTCGCGCGCAGCTAATTCCCAAAATCGTATCTGTACGCGCGGCATAGAATATTCGCAATGTACGCTTGTCGATACAAATAAATGATGATTCTCGCATAGATAGCCAATATATTATTATGTTGACACACGCATCCTCTCTCTCTCTCTTTCTCTCTCTCCTCCCTTCCCTACCTGTCGTTATGTGCTATTATATTGCGCTGCGTGCGGTAGTCGCCGTTTCATATATATAATCATCATTTCAGAAATGCAATTGGAAGTTGGCATTAATGTTGATACACGCCTGATGCGGATCCAATGATCCTTGCGCCTGGGTGAGCATCAATCGAAACCTTGTCAAATAAATCTACCGAATTACTTTTATATGTTGGCCACCGTGTGATATTTCAAAACTTTTAATTGGCTCGCCCGCGGTCTGTCGAAAGTTGAGCGAGATACACATAGCGGGATGTATATCTTGCTTCGCAATCGTACCGATACACGTCGATGGTTGATAACTGAATTTGGCAAATCACGTCGATTCGCATCACGTGCTGACAGTCAACGTGAAATATAGCGGAAGATATTTAAGATATCAAATTTTTTGACACGACCTTGCCACGAGCATTCTCAAAGATGGAGCAAATTTTATGCAGACACCGTTTTATGATAAAAAATTGTCTAATTATTTCTACATAGTCGTGCAAGGAAGAATTGGTCAATTATTTATTTCTCTAATTACGCTTATAGCTGAAACGCAATATGTTCTATACGAGAACGTAACGCAATCGAGACTCTGACGCGTATTTAAACAGCCGTGTTATGCATCTATCGCTCGCGATTCATTCTCATGGAGAATTCGCATCAAACGAAAGCACGGTCCAATCAATCCGGATATCTTGTGCGAATACGGAACGATGGTCAACCGGTTGTTAGATTAATCCCCGATGCTATATCCCCAGAGCCAAGGCCTCTTCGTCCCTTGACCTTCTCTTATTACGCGCTTCGCTAGAAGAAGCAAGGTTGATTCTCCATTGGGATTCCGAGAGTTATCACCGTCGCTAGAGCGACCAATTGCGTTAGCAATGATTTTTATCTTTGCTAAAGTTAGGTGAAAAAGGAAAGAGAAAAGTTCACGGAATAAAGGAATAAATGAGTTCGCGGTGATGCGCGCGAGAGAGAGAAAGAGAGAGAGAGAGAGAGAGAGAGACACCACAGAATAGATCGATGCGTCGGGCAAGCGAGACACACGGGTCACAGAAAATATGCCAGTGCTGCTGTCCTCTTCCGCCTCCGTATGATTCAACGGCGAGAGTTAGGGTTGAAGAGAAAGATCGGAATTATAAGAGGCTGCATCGCGAGAAAGAAGGAACTTACGTGTCGCGACGCGAGATCGAGCAGGAGGACGAAGAAGAAAAGAGCTCACTGACGACGGACGGGCGGAAGGGTTGAGGATGAGAGTGAGGGGGTGGCTGAAACGCCGTGCGCGAGAGAGGAAGGATTGTGTGGTAGAAGAGGAACGGAGGAAAGCACGGAGACTGCGTGAGAGTTGGAAAACGTAGCCGTACGGGGTGAGGGAGAGAAGCGATAGAGCGAGGTTGGCGGAGAGAGGGAGGCACCGACAGAGACAGAGGACGAGGGTTGGTTTGCCGAGCTCAGTTACGCCGCGCCCCTTGCGAAGAGCGTTGCACCACACGAGTGAGATCGTGGTATTTTCGTCGCTGCACAAGAGCGATCGCTCTCTCTCTCTCCTCTCTCTCTGCTCTGCTCCGCTTCGCCACTTTCCTCCCTCTTTCGCGGATGGTGCGGATCACGCGGCGCGGCTGACGCGTCGGAAAGCTGGAGAAAAGCTTCCGGCTTTGTGAGAAGACAGGTAGCGCGCGCGTTGTTACGTGCACGTGTCTCTCTATCAAAAAATCAACGACTGTTGTTTTTGTCGAAACACGAATGGTGCCATCGTTCTAAATCTCTTAGTCTGTTTCACTGTCTAACTCTCTTTCTTTCTGTCTCTTGTGTTCTTCCCTGACTGTCCTCCTTTATCTCTCTTCTGTCTGTCAATTGAGGACGCAACGCATCGAATGATCCTATCGAGATGAGATATTTATAACAGAGAAAATACACGGAAGACTCTGGCGAGGGATATTCTTCGGCGGACTCGCGCGTGACAGGGTGTGTTTAACGAGAACGCGAGTCGTGTGAGGAACGTGCGACATGTGTCGAGGGATTATGCCGATTTCTCAGCTCTGTGCGTAACAATGGACAACGTGCCACCGTCAAACTGACTTCGCGTTGGTGTGACCCCCGTGCAATGTCTCTACATATTTGCACGCTCGAATGACATTCTTCAGCGAGGCCTCACAAGCGAAACTCGATCGCGATCTCGATCGTGCCCCGAGGGTGAGAAGCCGCGTTCTCGCAAAGGAGGAGCACTGTTCGCACGAGAAGAAGATCGCAAGTTGTCGTCTCGACTCGAGGCCAATTTAAATCGCCAACCACGGACGGTTGTCGCAGAGGCGGCAGGAAGTCTCGACAGCTAAGATGTCTCTCGCAGGAAAGGGAAAAACGAACGTAACTGAGTGATCGACGCGCGTGATCCCGTTTAAAGAGTTTTCTGCGCGAAGGAAGACATGAAACCACGTTACTGAGGGGAGGAGAAAAATAGGCAACACTCGTGTCACAGCTCCGGTTGCACAAATCCGGATTGAACCAAGTGAATTCGAGGAGTGGCTCGACGATTCTCGGCACCTCGGAACCATCTATCAAAGGTAAATAGGTCATGTATTTTGTATGCATGATTTTTAGTCGCTCGACTATGAGCGTCAACGCCTCTCGTCCGATGACCGAGGAATCAATTAGACATCGCTCGAATTCTTCACGCGTTCCCCTCGTTTCGTCGCTGAAGAAAAATCGCTCGTCATCGCGTGTGAACGACCATCAGATATCTCGCAAATTCTTTAACGTGTCATGTAAAACGACAAGAATCTTGCAGCCCCGTAACCAGCTCTACGCAAACATCGATGAAATATACGTATATAATATGATGAAATATACACATGCAGCTGCGGAATAGGGAGATCCGAGCGTTTTTCCGTGCGCGAAGAGTCTCATCAAAATACGTCCAATAGCCGTGAGCCAATTTGCGTATCCACGTGTGTATATTTACGCTGTTGTAAACAATTTTGTTATGAACTGATGTAACGTAGGAAAATACGATCGCGTCCTTCAAAACGCACAAGAAAACGCGTCATTGTTTCTAATATGCGACAAAAGGGCTGCGTTCGAATTCCATGCATTGCTCCGGCATCTTTTTAGATGCAGCAGCTACAATGAACTGGGTCAAAGCGCAAGGCACATCGATATCCTACATCCATTCACCAGCCGTGATTCCGCGGAAAAAAGTACGTCCGAATAAATTTAAATTTCGGGCGGTGCGCAGATACACACAACACCCACACACGCGCCTCTTTCGGGTTCATACATAAGTCTAAATCCATTACTCGCGAAAGAGGTCGGGGTTGCGTGATGGGATAACGGAAAAGTGGCGTTTTCGAGCGGCAGGGAATCTTCGGTGACACGGACGAACGATTACGAGCCATCAATTGTATGATCGCGCCGACCATTCCAGCCGACCAGGTAAGCGCGAACGAATGCGCGCGGATATTGAGGGCGGAAACTTGAACGAGCTTTTAAGCAGCTAGACAGATTCGTTCTCGCGACACTTTCAACTTGCTCGATTTTAGCGGCCTGACGGACAGACAGACGAACGAACAAAAGAAGAAAGGAACGAGAATGCGAATGTAGACGCCTGAGTTTTAAAAGTCAAACGCTATTCAAGTTTCCCGTCGGACTGTCGCGAGAGGATCATTCTCGTGCGCGTGTGCGGGACAGTTGTGTACGAGTCGGCTGCAACGTCTAGGTCAGACAACCAAGACTGATAGAGGAACTTGAACTCGATCGCCGACTTTGTCCCCGATTGCCGATTTCCGCCTGTTAAACGCCTCGTCCTTTAGATCACCTCGAGATCTCGAGTGTCGGGTATTAGCGCGCGAATTCGGTCGAGCAAACGCGATCATCCTTCAATCTAATTTAATCTTGCTCAATTGGCTCTACCTATCTGTCTATCCTCCTCTCCCTTTCCCCCGCCTCTCCCTCTCTCAATTAATTTAATTTCTTTAAAACGCATTCGACGAAATGATGTATCTGTTCCTCGGTTATCGACGCTTTTACCAACGCGACATCTCGCTCTCTCGCCGAGTGCGATACAATTTCTCTGGGATATAGCGCGGCCGAGTAATTTCGAATCATAAGCAAAATTGAGACCGTCGCAGCCGAGCGTTCTATCAGCCGATTTCCAGCAGTTTTTCACGGTGGCCGGAGCGGACACCGCCGCTGTGAAAATCCGCTGAGCTTTTCGCTCTTTGTCAAAAGATTGGATGATTAATCATACCGTCCTGTGTATAGCCCTCTTGTGCTTTCCGGCCCGTGTGTATGTCTACATGTATACGACACGCAGTCATTTCCGTACGCGCGCGCCAGCTAGTCGTGTATGTGCGCCTTTTAGCGAACGAGGATTCATCAATGTCTAAAACCAGGCTGAAGCCTTCGTGAGTGATTGACCGCGGGGCTAGACCTTGTCGTTCCACGTTGTTTCACTCCCAAGTGTCTAATATTTTCGACACTTCCGTCTGCGCGCCGTGAACACGCCGCAATATCCGAAAGCCGGATTGTTCACGTAATTCGACGATTCCGGTTAAATTAATCGCGAAAATTTTACAACGTCCAGGAGTCTCTAGCTTCAGGGGCTTTCGCGATGATTCACGCCGGCACAATCCGTTTATTTAAAGCAAATTCCGGACCGGATTGTTACTCGTTGCGAGTAGTAATTCGCGAATGGAGCCAACTTCGGACGAGTTAGAATTCGCCGCAGAATTCGGGACAGATTCTATTCTCACGGTAAGAAAACACTCCACGAGTCGGGATTCCGTTTGCAGATGTATGCATTTTTCGCGCACGTCTATTCGTGCCTGCCTACACATTTTTGACACTTAATTTTCGCATTGCACGCGGCGTCTCGAGAAAATCGCAATTAGAATTTCGCGATGCGAATCAAATAGGTCAGAGTCAAGGTGTACTTGACAATTCACATCCGCCTGTCATTCGACTCAAGCATCGCTCTACTCGCTCGTTAATTATCATCGCGGTGCTAATTGCGCTCTTCGCGTTTTCTTCAGAACGAGGGCGTTATGTCCTTTTCGCAGCCAGCCCGTCGTGCAGCAGACGCGTCAACACAATGTCAACTTCTCTCCGTCTGAGCGTTTCGCCGTTTAATCCGCGTGAGATAGATACGTGCGATTAGACGATTCGGCGGAAACGGGGAACCATTCAGCATCCCGCGCGAGCGTGGGCGCGCTTATCCGCTTGTCCGACGATCCCCGTGACCCACACACTGACCGTGTGTAACCCCCGAGAGTTCGACCGTGGATAGCCGGTAAGCTTATGAGCTTTTCGACCTGCGGATCAACGGGATCGAAGCCCGCCGAACAAGGGCGACATAACCCCGGCGTCACGTGTATATGTATCGCGGTCGATCGATGCCCGTACCTCAAATCGTTTCTCTGATCCGTCCCCTTCGCGCAATACATCGCCGCGCGTCCTGTCACACGACATTTAAATGCGCGCGTATTCCACACGCCGATTGTCGATCGTCCGCGCAGCTAATTATCGACTTTCCGCGCACACGTCATACTCGACAGCGACGGAGGTATTACGATTGTTTCCCGGATGTCCTGTCCGACTACATCCGACGACGGTCGATTCCTCGCGCTTCCGACATCTTGCATGCATTACGCGCAAAAACCGAGGGTCCGCGCAAAAAGTCGTTGCAAAAGAGTCAGTTAAAAGAGGTCATACACGGAAGAAAAAGTTTGGTTCGATCAATCAAATGTCTGATGAAATGTGAACGAACCAGAATTACGGCTAAAATTATCGGAATCCCGTGTTCAAGTTGACAAGATTCTGGTCAACCAAATATTATTTCTGGTTAAGCGGAACTCGCAATCGCTTCAAGTTGAACAGTTCCGTCCAACCAAAAAACTTGTTGACTCGAGCATACCGGCACTTTCAACCGGAATTTTTTATTATTTATTTCATATTTTTCACCAGACATTTGATTAACCCAAACAAATTTTCTTCTTCCGTGAATAAAAATTTGCACGAACTGAATCAGATTAAATGAAAATCGAATCGGATTAGCGATCTAACGCAGGAATTTTCAACTATGCAATTTAGTTCACTGTATAAAGTTAACGTAAAATTGAACGTAGTTGTCTGTACGATATGGACGCTAATTCAACTACCAAGTGATTGATCTAACTGCATAAAACGAGTAATTCTACTTCTGACGGATGGTTAAGCAAATGAAACGATAAATATGAGCGATGATGTGTCGGGTCAACTTCATGGCCGCCTAATTGAACTGAATTTGGAGTTTGTTTTACACGAAGCAGCGAATAAAAGAACAGGAAAGTTTCGCTGAGAGGATTCCGGCGGCTGATTCGCCATAACCACTCGGCTGAAATTGAGTTCGTTTAACTCGATTCTAGTTGTTCCTATAGTCCCTTTTTTACAGTGGATACATTCCTCGAGCTCACACGAATTTGCCAGCATCTACATCCGGGAAATGACCCGTGATCGCGCGACTTCGACGAAAGCGATCGCCTTGATTTATCGTCGATCCACATTGACACGCTCTACTGTCGCGCTTTTAACGACGCCTTCCACTTCGTCCTCGTCAATTCGACGTCGACGGGTGCACACGGCGCGCTGCTGCATTTATCGCGGGAAGACCAGTTCGTCCTGATTATTATGCGATATATTGCGTGCGTAATCGCGATGAATTTAATAATATTGAAGATTACATCATATATGCCGCAAACAACTTTACCCGCGTCCGAACTATATAATATGATATAATACTTGATAGATCCGCTCCCCCGTCGTCCCTCACGTATCATAAACAGTGTACACTACTCGTATTTCATACATAGCAGGATTAATCATGTATCACGTGGCAGACAGCGTGAAATAGGTACACGGTAGTAATCAAATATAGATGCAATTACGTACAATTGAACCTCTGCGCGAAACGTTAAGCCATCGATGTACGTTTATTCGGAAAATTATCACTGTCATTGTGTATGGATATCACTGTCGCTGTCTCAATTGAAAGGCAAATTAAAATTGTTCATACCGCATACACGTAAATCAATGACAAAACGATGACAACAACGGACCAGCGAAAATATGTCGCGCTTGTCATGTAATACAACGCTCATTGCGACGCTCTTCGGAGTCGTGAAAAAAAAATAACACTTCACTGTACGCTTAATTCCGCCGTAATTTGAGACTCGGATAGGTAACATCAGGACTTGACGCGCACGCGCGCGTGCGATTACTCATTAATCGGTGCGGAAACGTTAGTAGATCACCACGAGATTGACCGTTTTTGCGGCGCATTCTGACGCAATTTCGCACTCTCTGGCGGATTCTGAACATTTATTCCGAACGTATGTAGCGCTTTTTTCTACGCATTTTATTTTTATTTCTATTTTATTTTTATTGCGAAACATACCTCGATTTTAAACATAGCCCATCTTGTTATTGGTGCACCCTTTTAAACGTACAACCGGGACGTGCTATTGTTAAATTTTTCGCTCGAAAGTAACCGCTTTGTGATATTGCAATCGATCGTGTTCCGGCGACAAAT